TATTGTATATGTATATGTTTATTGGTTGTACGTCGTAGATTAGTAATGATTGGGGCTATGTTCTGTAATCTGGTTTGAATTTTCACTTGTTAAAAGTGAATATTGATTTTGAGTTATGACTCAACGATGGATTTTTAACTTGCTAGCTAGGGGGAAGGGTTGGGGTTAAATCCTCACTTGTGCTATAAGTGAGACCGACTAAAAATGTTTGACAACCGGGGAGCCTGAGCAATACCGTTATTAATTAGTTTGTGGACGGGCATCAATCTTCTTCTCATCTTATATGATAATAGCTTCCTTAGCCTTTTTTCCTGGGAGCTGTTTTAGTAGCAGGCATTTAGGACTGGCTTTGACGGTTCGCCAAAGCCAAATTCGTACATATTGATGAATTTTTAATTCTCTTAGAACACCAGCGAATAACTGGTGTTAAACAGCGTTTAGCACCTTCTAAAGTCTGATGGCTTAAGATTAACACAAATTGCACTATTCGCTTTAGTAAAACGAATAGAGAAAGACTTGTTTTACTGCGTGACATGTTGTGACGTCAGAGGTGGACGCAAAATATTAATTCCACAATGCAACCGGGTAGGGTAACGTGGGGCAGCGCGCCCCCCACTTTTTTTAAACTAAATTTTTGATGAAGTTTTAATTGATACGATGTGGTTTTTTGTTTTATTTAAAGGTACAACTAATGAGGAATGTATGATGTGAATTAGACGCCTATAGATTTATTCAATTTTTAATGAAACACAATTGTGGTGGAGGTGATGATGGCGGTGGAGGTGATGATGGTGGTGGTGGTGATGGTGGTGGTGGTGATGGTGGTGGTGGTGATGGTGGTGGAGGTGATGATGGTGGTGGAGGTGATGATGGTGGTGGTGGTGATGATGGTGGTGGAGGTGATGATGGTGGTGGAGGTGATGATGGCGGTGGAGGTGATGATGGTGGTGGTGGTGATGGTGGTGGTGGTGATGGTGGCGGAGGTGATGATGGTGGTGGAAGTGATGATGGTGGTGGAGGTGATGATGGTGGTGGTGATGATGGTGGTGGAGGTGATGATGGCGGTGGAGGTGATGATGGTGGTGGTGGTGATGGTGGTGGAGGTGATGGTGTTGGAGGTGATGATGGTGGTGGAGGTGATGATGGTTGTGGTGGTGATGATGATGGTGGAGGTGATGGTGGTGGAGGTGATGATGGTGGTGGAGGTGATGGTGGTGGAGGTGATGATGATGGTGGAGGTGATGATGGTGGTGGAGGTGATGATGGCGGTGGAGGTGATAAGCGGAGGTGATACCAATCATTACAATAGTGATGATGATATCCGAATCTATAGCAGTGATATCGAAAATAACAAAGTAATACGTGATTATGACAATAAAAATAGAAGTGATTACGGCTTTGAGAACAGAATAATTACAAGCATACGGGTGAGAAGTGAGGCTGAGTGATATATGTAATATTGATAATAACCATAACAACAATCGTAATTGTGTTAACAATAGCTGAAGCACCTTGAACGACCCGTAGGAGCACTCTTTAATACTATTATTAATAATGTTTTAATTGGACCTTTCAAATGTACTGCTTCACATCAAGGGTTCTGATGCGTTCGATCGAAAAAAATGAAATATTCCGAGTACAGTGACATCATTCATAGATGACTAACATTTATCTAGTCTTTACTATATCATAATGATCGCAGGATGATGTATTTGACTTATTTAGTCACTAGTTTGTTTACTGAAAATAGTTGGTGTCAGGAAGTGTTCTTTGATACCGACTTATCGGTACCGATAAGTCGGTATACTACTTGATACTTACTTGATACCGAATATATAGCACTTGTTTGCTTAAATCGCAAATTAACTAAGAATTTAAAAGCAAAGAAAAGTCCACAAAAATTCATATCTTTATAGAAAACGTTTCGGTGACCGGCTCCATCGTCAGTTCGTAGAATCTAGAATCACAAATCAGAAGTCACAAATTAATACATTGAAAGCACAGAACAAAATTAAAAACCTAAATTTACAAGTAATAGACGGAGCAAAAAACTATCTATTAACAATTTCAAGGGGATAGGAACTAGCAGCTGAATTCAAACTGTGCCTAAGTTTAAAGATGTACAGCGATTCTAAAATGCGCAAATCGGAAGTCCCGGAGGTGGAAGCTAACACCCTAAAGTCACTGTCAGAAGCGGGGACATCATGCACACTGCTCGGCGTGAGCGCGCACAGCCGAATGAAGTGGGCGCGATAGCAACTGTCCAGTTCTACAACTCCTGCCCTTATGCTCAGAGCCCCTGGTATAAAGATTACGTGACGTCATCCCGACGTACGCAGATGCACATCGTGCACAACAATATTGATAAACCAGGGACGATCGCATATGAACAGGGAGCATATCTTTATATCTAAAGAAAGAACCGATTGTGAAATTGTTTACCAGCACAATATGAAGATTGACATTTGGGAAGTATCTATTGAACAAGACTTTTAATTCTTTTGACATAGCTTCGGATGCAGGGCCGAAGTATGGAAAAGAACAATAAATAACTTTCCTACTATCGCGCTCAGGAGCAACCTCACTTGTTTCTGACAGTGACTTTAGGGTGTTAGCTTCCACCTCCGGGACTTCCGATTTGCGCATTTTAGAATCGCTGTACATCTTTAAACTTAGGCCCAGTTTGAATTCAGCTGCTAGTTCCTATCCCCTTGAAATTGTTAATAGATAGTTTTTTGCTCCATCTATTACTTGTAAATTTAGGTTTTTAATTTTGTTCTGTGCTTTCAATGTATTAATTTGTGACTTCTGATTTGTGATTCTAGATTCTACGAACTGACGATGGAGCCGGTCACCGAAACCTTTTCTATAAAGATATGAATTTTTGTGGACTTTTCTTTGCTTTTAAATTCTTACTTGATACCGATATTATCGATTACTAAATGTTTGTTTTTATTAATATTCGATCTTTGATAAAGACTAGCGTACATGGTGACGCAGTAGCGGAGAACTACGTCTAATGTTAGTTAGGCGACTAAGTTTCAGATCACAACTTCTACTGAACAGTCTCGAGACCGGGCTTACACGGCATTAGTTAAATCTTGTTCATTAAGTGACTCGAATATTTGCCACTTAAATTAAATAATTTCAAGTGTCCGGTTCCTAGGAACACAACTTCAGTGATGCTGGTGCACGGTACGAGCGACCAGTTCGCTCACCACGGCTTCAGTCTCGCTCACGCGCTCAACGAACATGGCTCACACTTTACGCACGTGGTGAGAACTCAACGTTATTCATGGATGTGTAATATCAAAGAATAAACTATACGATTTATTTTTTGAAGAATGGATTTTTGCTGGGATCTTCATTCTAATAATCATTTGACCCTCGCACATGTTGTTTTGGACTCGTTCTATCGTCAAGTATTGTGCCTCGATAGTTACATCGCATCTATGGCAGTGATATCGAAATACCATAAAATGCAATATCATAAAATGTTTCTTCTTCATAGTTATTGCTTGTTCTTCAATCAAATTTGCGTAAAGGAAATACTGCTACCTAAATATACCAATGTTATTTATGTGTACATGATTAGAACGTAGACACCTACGGTATTATAACGTATAAGGACGCACAGACTCGATTTTAGTATCACGCTTACTAAGGCCAATCGTTTTGATGATGTTGTTAGAGATCGTGATTATTAAAAAATTCATAATATGTGGATGACCTAATGCTCTATGTTTAGCTTTATTTCAAGATACAGAACTGTTTTAACCATTGCCCAAGTTCACAAATGAAAATTTTTAATCTGGGCACCTAACATTCCCTTGGAATCTGCTGCCCGGTGCGGTGGCCGAATACTTATGAGCAAAACGTGTGAAACAGAGATTTGCTCTCATTAGGGCAGAGCCCCTTCAATCAGGATGCACTTATTTGACAGAATGACCAAATAATTTTTTTAATTACGTCTGACCAATGATTAATTGTAATAACGATGGAAGAGAGAGCGTGATCAGACGAGAAGCCGCGTCAGTGAACTAAGCTCTACAGTCATTCCGACCAATATCGTAAACGTCGAGAAAACATTAAATATCTTAATGAAAATAATAACTTGTTTTTACTAGGTTTATTCATTCCACATTTATATCTTCCTATCGTACCAATTATAAAAAATGGCGAATAATGAGCTGCTAGAATCGTAGCAAGCTCAGAATTCATCATGCGATTGGCAATAACCTTCGCTGCCTTCGCAAACTTGACCTGGAAACCGATTGATTTCGTCCTGTGGAAGATGTCTAGGACACCGACGAGTATGTCATATTTGATCTCGAAATTTGCAAGAGAAACTACACATTTTTTCAGCCTCATCTACAGTAAACTGTTCTGGAAAATACTTGCTTGGAAATTTATCTCTTTACCGAGTCCCTGAGTTCTTTGGCTACTGAGTTTGAAAGCCAATTACAGTTGGGGTGTAATTGTTATCAGAACGATGCCAATTTTTTTTCTATCATGTCGCTCCCGTGCTATTTATACGTATTAAAAAATATTAACTTCTTATATCAAAATATTTAATTAGGTGAATTACACCTTTCATGTTTATAGCGTAGACGATGCTCCTATTTAGGAGAGTATGATTTGACTGTTTCGTCGTAGGTCTACCCGGACACCAGTGCTGGCCTAATTGCCGAGCAAGAACATCTTCTCAAGGCCTATGTCAACTTCCTCTTCCAGTCAACGTGTATCGGAGCTGATTAAATAAACACAAAGTTTTTCATACGCATTCATCATGAAAGTCAACGTCTACATCCACTTTCAGACCACGTCTTTTGGATCTTACTGAATAACTTCGAACCTTCGTTAACGCGAACCCGATAGCAAGGCCTAAGTTGGCAGGACGCGCGGCGGCTGAACTTACGGCAAGACTATCAGAAGCATGTCTTGTACAATTTGGTGCAAACGTTTTCACTTAACCAACGAATTTGCATATCATTCACGTGAAAATTTTTCTCAAAAAAATCAATGCTGAGTTTTCGTATATTGGGCCTGCAGTGTCGTTAATCATTCAATTATCCGAGGTCATATGTTAGACGCACTCCTCATATCACATTTAGTCACTATCAAATTGTAAGTAAAATAACCGTATCAGATTTGTAGCGTCTAGAGGCTTGCCACTTGAACCTTGTAGATATGCTGTTCAATATAAAAATTGAACCTTGCACGCTTGACGTAGCTGGAGATCGGAGCTGCAGGAGCTCTAATTTGCTCCACCTCCGGAATGTTGTCTAATCTTTGTAGCTGTTTTCATGAACATGGATGGTACATACCATACAACCCAGGTACCATTTTTGTAGTTAAAGATACGTCTTAAATTTTTATTGCTTATCAGTGTCAGCAGTGAAAATTTTGGACTATCGTACATTGACATAAATTATCAGGAATAAATGAAAGCATTTTTCAAATCTGATTTTCTTCGATTCAGCGAATAATCTTGTGAAATATCGCGAGGAAGTAAGCAAGAATTTACTTTTTTCTTATTGGCAGTAAGAAATTCTGAATAATTCTAACTCATTGCTTCTTTTCGGACTATACATTCGCTCTTTATCATACTCGGTGTGTAATGATTAATCTATTACATTAAATTTCGATTCACTTATGAAAATTAAATCCCCGACATCGAGACCAGACCCTGCAGATAATTTTAAACACAAGATATAATTAACATACAATAATACTCCTATTAGAATTTTCACTCCAAAGTCCGACTCATTTTAACCGGCCATCTTTACCTTCTAGTAGCTATTCCTATCTTTTTCTCTTGCAAGAGTTAACTTTGGCTGATTAAGCAATTTAATTGAGAATTTGACTGATGTTCAATTAAGACCTTTTCTTCCCTTGTAGTTGAGTACACCTCAATAATCATTGAATCGATTGGTGTTTTATAGCTCATTGATGAGTATGATTTCTGTTGTGTGAAATGGGACATTTTCACGTTACCGGAAATTCCACAAAATATGGCTACTCTTTTTGGGGGCGAAATTTTTGCCGTGTTGGTACCACTTATGTAAACTGGCTTGTTCGCCCAGAACTTTCGAACGTTTTTGCCGGTCGTAGATACGGAATCCCTCTCTACTATATTAATCCAGATAACGTCTTACAATTGTTCTACAGAGTGTCTTCCGAGCTGACGTTAACTTTGGGTGTTTGTAGGCGGTGGCAGTAATGGTGGCCAGTCGAACTTTCAAAAGAAACCGCCACTGCTTACCGTGCTACTGGCACCTGTCGTGTATAGGCACTACACGAGGCCAGTGGCATGATAATTAGTGGCGGTTAGTAGAATGTTGCACTGGACGCGACTACTGGCCCCGTAACAAACACTTTTTATCCTGTGCACGCTTTCGGCTAACCTTCCCTTTTGATCCTCAGGTTTACCCCGAAACAACCCCTTCTACCATCAGACCCGAACGTCACCTCCTTGCTGAACTAGAGCACTTTCTCTTCAGTTGGATTCACGATCCTCTAATATACGAAGACCTGGAAGGGAAGATTTTAGAGGATGGCATTGAAGAGAACGTTCCCACATATGAAACGCGGTTTGATATCAGAAGAAGTTATCTGAAACTCAGGGCACCCAGTGGAGTTTGAGAGCTAATAATCCCTTTTAATTTTGTTTCGTCATTAATTACATTAATAATGAAGTCTTCAGATTTTGAATAGTTCTCATCAGAATTTATAAGAAGTGGCCTGATCTGGAGAATATGTATTATTTTCATTATTGACCATTTGTATTTGATACAAAACGCATTATAATTTTCCGATATTGAATTCAATATTTCTCTTTCATTAATAGCTAAATATAGAAAAACAAAAATTGATTTTCAATAATGAATAAAATTCTAATTTCTAGAGTGGAATTATTTATTTTGCAGTCCCTCTGCAAACTAGTAGTTATCATAGTTTTTAGTCCCTCTGCAAGTTTAATTCCATGCGATATTATTAACATAGAAATATTTTTAATATATAGAAATCATTTTGGCTGATTCAAAATTTATTGATGTAAAATGATAACCGATACATAAAGAAATGAAACGTTTAATAACAAACATAAATTTAATTACTTCGCGAATGATAGAGATTGACGGCCGCTGGACCGCTGGTGGTTAGAGCCTCATAGTCAGTCGTTTGATCACCGAACTTAGCCGCCGCCTAACCTCCGGCGGTCAGAGCTTGACACCCGCAATAACGCCTGTGATCGAATGTTAAAAGCCACCTGGCTGACAGAGGTCTGATACTGACCGCCACCTGATCGCCTTAAACCTCAACCGCCTGACATGGGTAAACGGAGCAATATTGTCACACGAGCCTACCCAGAAAGGATACGTTCTAGTGAGCGCAAAATGACTTGCACCGGTGGTTTCCGCCACGTACGACAACTTTAGAATGTTTTCTGTTGCGTACAAACGTCCTTAGGTTGCTACACTCAGTAGTTTATGAATAATTTAAGTTAAAATTTATGTTCCCGAACAGTGACGTACGGCGGTAGAGGGTTAAGACTTTCGCATAGCCCAACACTTGGCATTTAGAGATGGACGGTCAATCAGAGGTTGATGGCTGCCTGGCAGCTTCTTGATCACCGGTGGCGGTAGTCATAGTTTGACCGCTGGCGCTAAAAGTTTGATAGTCGGTGGTCAGTGGCTGGCTGCCGCCAATCGTTTTTCAGACTATTTGGATTTGGTGCTTCAAACACGCCATCTGTCGAAAACTTGCTTGGAAATTTTCTATTCGTTTCCTGGGTCTTATAAAAAATTCTATCTGCAATATTATAATGACAAAACATGTTCTACGAAATTCGACATTCCTACAGAGTGGACTATAGAGTCCCATGGTGCTGTCTCATTCAACAAGAGAATAGGAATGTTCGTGTTTGAGTAGGTTACATAAAGTAAATTGTTGTTTAGTTGCGGCTTCACAACTTTAGTTAATTCCATTGGATACTAGAGTCGCTGGGTGTTTACCACCGCAACCACACTTTCGACCAGAAATTCCTTAGCGCACTAATGTTAGCAACCTTTTTAGCGCACTAATGTTAGCAACCTTTTTACGCATAAAATTTTCAACTTTGGATCGATTTGCTTCCAATTATAACCAGCATTTTTCATTTATAGTACGCTCCTGCGAGCGTCGTCAGAATATTTTTGGTGCGTCCGCTTTTCAATTGATATTGGCTCTAATCTAATTCATTCAATGCGGAGAACTCGAGCAAATTTCGCGGGCGTAAGCCCGCGAAATGTGAATTAAAAACTTGGTCTTAGTCCTCGCCATCGCGTAGAAGGCGAGGATTTTCTTTCGCTTTAGTCAGGTAAAACCCCAAGGGGGCACTTTTTTTCAGAACTCGTGATTTCCTATATAGGCGGATCCTGACATCTCATACTTAGCGAGAAACCCGCTATGGGCCCATGACCCGCAGTGGGCTCGCTGCCCCATGTTACCCTACGTGTTGGTCAAAATTGTTTGAGTAAAATAATTTTTTGTGCTTGGTAGACATTTTATTAGCAAGTTAAGCTTCTTTATAATCATAAAAGTACAACAATTTTTTTGCTTTTTTTTCCAGTTAATGACGAATGTAATTTTTTAAAGTAGATATCTACGGGGTACCCTGTATTTTTTTCTTTTTTATCCTTGTACCGTGGGGCGTGGGGCACGTTTGAAAGATTATGAAGCAGTGTAACTGTGTTGCCCATAAAAGTATAAATGCAGTAATAATCAAACGGGAGTGCAATTTCTATTGTCAACAAGTTTACAAAGTCTACATTTTGCAGTGACCATTCAAAATAAAGGAGTTCATCTGAGCCGAGTCAGCTCGTACTGCCTTGGACGAGTCTCCACTCTCCAGAGCTCCCTCAGCTCCAAAAGAAGAAGAAAGAGTCAGCTCGTAGGGCCGTATGACGGTATGCCTAGCGCTGGGCTTGAAAAGTTGAAACTAGGCTGTTGTAACGTATACATAGTAATGTCGGCGTTGAAGAGTAGGCCTGATGAGGCCTGTCGGCTGTCGCCGATTCTTACTTTTCGTGACTTGTTCACAGAAGATCTAAAATCGTGTCATTTGTCCGGATCTTTTCAGGGACTGACGATAGTTTGAAATTGCTACTTGACACTAGGCTGAGACTAGCTAGAGCCTAGACACAGTAGACTTCCACCTGGTTCGATATGGTAAACCGAATGTCTAGTAAACTCGTTTTATTTTTTCAAGAATTGGAAGCGTGGGTCAAATAAATTCGTTATGTTTTATTAAGATTTGGAGCCGAAGGTCGAGTAAACTAATTTTGTTCTTTTAATATTTGGGACTGAAGGTCGAGTAAATTCGTTATATTTGTCAAGATTTTGAACAGAATTTCAAGTCATTATGTTGATGCGTGAATGTCTTGTATGTTACATGGGCATAATGGCCCAGTGGTTCCAGTTCAGAGTACAAATATTGGAGCAGTGAGGCATGGGTTCGATCCCAGCTACTTGCGATAGTTCTGGTCAAAATTGGCGAGATGGCCGGGCATTTCAGCACGGCAAACTTGGAGCAGGGAATTGCTGGTTCGAGACCGCAACTGGCTGCGAAAATTATGCGATAGTTAGAATTAGTGACAGGCCTAATGGCCTAATGAACGCTGACACCGCTATATTAAATGTTTGTAAAATAGACCAATGGATAATTATTCTCAACATGGAAGTTCAAACTCGCATATTGAAGACCTTGCTATGTATATTGACCTCACAATATTATTCGCATGAATGCCCATTCGCCAACTAGCAGCGTGTCATAACCTCATTTTTTTAGTTGTACGCTTAATAATGTTTATATTCAAAGATATGAGTGAGACCTGGTCCAAAAAGCGATGTACTTTTTACCCTTGTGGGTCAACCTGACTCAGCTTGACCTCGGCATAAGGGCTTATCAAAAGTGTGTCATTTTTTTGGAAAGTGTGTCATTATTTAGACATTATAACCTGAAATTCTGCTTAGTGTGATATATTATTCCCGTTTCTCCAGTCAGCTGCTTGCTCGCTACGACTTCCTGGACGGGGACAACGTGGCCGTGTACGGCATGGGCGGCGAGGCGGCGAGCGTCGCCCTAGAGGCGGCCGCCCTTACGCCGCCTCGCTTCCAGTGCGTCGCCGCCGTCAACCCCATCAGCGACTGGCACATGAACAGTGAGTGGGTCTGCCAGGTCTTCCTGAGAACTGAGGGTCTGCCTTGTCTTCCTGGGGGTCTGCTGACTGAGAACTGAGGGTCTGCCAGGTCTTCCTGAGAACTGAGGGTCTGCCTGGTCTTCCTGGGGGTCTGCTGACTGAGAACTGAGGGTCTGCCTGGAAACGGCCATTAGATTTTGTAACATTACAATCAAGAAAAGATAAACTATTGTTGGTTTCAAGCTCCATGGTGAATTTTAATGACTGATGTTGGAGGTTTTGATTTTTTAATTGATTCTGATTTTCTTATAGGTTTTGAACTTTTGAACTGACGATGGAGCTGGACTCCGAAACGTTTTCATTCTTAAGAAATGGCTAATATTCTGGCTGTTTTCTTTGCTTTTAAATTCCTGGTAAACTTGCGACTTAAGCAATCTAGTAATTTTTAAGTGTATACAAAAAATGTATCTCGCTCTATGCCAGTCAAATTAGTTGATCTATGTAATTCATTGGGTATATAAAAAATATAATGCTATTTAAAAAAATTCATATAATTCATTATTGTATTTTAATTCATAGTTTTATTCATACATTTGATAATGTTCTATAAAATTCATCGTTCAACTCTTATGTATTGTTCTATTCTAAATGTTATTATAATTCATAATATAATTTCATCGTTCAATGATATTATAATATTATACTCATATTTATTGTTGTATTCTAAATGTTTTTTTATAATTATATAATAAGACAAAAAATGTTCATTGTTCCCTGATATTATAATATTATACTCATATTTAATTTTGTTTTCTAAATGTTTTTATATAATTCTATAATAAGAAATATGATAATATTCATTGTTCCCTGATATTAAGAGCCAATAATATGGGTGCAGGGCACGTGGCACCAGCACGTCGCCCTCGTGGGTGAGGCTGGGGGACGACGCGCGCCTCTCACGTCGCCTCGCTACCACGTCACCAGCGTCCTCGCTGCCTCCCTCGCCTCACGCCTCGTCTACTTCTCTGGCAGAAGTGAGGCAGAGACTGTTGGGGGTTTGTAGTAGAGGTGAGGCAGCGCCTCCCTCTCGTACCGCCTCGTTTACTTCTGTAATAGATGCGAGGCAGGAACTTGTAGCAACTCATTAGTGTCATACCACCAATGAGTGATATCAACTTCTTCATATCGTATCAACTTCTATGGCAGAGGAGCCCAAGGTTGGAGTAATTTGGCATTTCACTCTTTACTTAAAATATTGCAAACCTCATCTAATTGTGTACTTTGTAATAGTTAAATGTATACATACAGAATCGATACAATTCACATACAATTTGCTCATTGCTATTTATTTTTTAAACAATACATTTTTTACATTTTCTTCTATTCACTCTGGGCCACCTAAATTATAATCTGTTTCTCCATACCTATTCAATTTTTTCGAAAAGCAACTCAATTTCCAGATCTCGCGTCCATGAAAGATGGGCAGCCTGGGGAACACGTCTACAGAACGTCAGCCGACGGACGCAACGAAATTCACTGCGTCACTTGCGACATCTTCAACAAAAACGTCAAATTCGTCGACGTGATCGCCAAGAAAGAAGTTGAAGAGGACGTTGAAGCGTTGATTTCAGAAGTGACGCAATGGGACGAGTGGCCTGGAGTCATCAG